AATTATTGTTGCTTGCCAGTGGTGGTGCACGCCTTGAATCCCTGCACTAGGGAGGCAGAGACAGGTGTATCTCTGTGAGTCTGAAGCCAGCCTGGTCTACAGAGTGAGTTCCAGGACAACTAGGGTTACACAGAGAAACTCTGTCTTTCAGGAGGGGGATAATTTTGTGTTAAGTAGGAGCTTCAATGTTATGTTCTCAGTGAAAGGGCGAACTAATTAGACAAAACTATTTAAGTATCGTATAAGAACATGAGAGAGAAAAAGATACATCAAGCTAGAATGTTTGTTAGGCTGTGTGATAAAAAAAAAACTCCATATAATAGAGACAGGTGGTTCTTGGCATATATGTGTTCCAGAACATTCCTTCATATTCTTTGATAACATTAGTCCCTGGCTCATTCTTTCTTGCTTTTTTTGTTGTTGTCATTGCTGATGACCTCAACATACTTACAGATATTCAAACAACACTTGTGCCTGTTTTTTTCTGTCTTCCTAAAATCCAGTACTCCTGCCCTCCATCTGATCCAGCTGTAACTGGAGAGGAGAGTCAACGGGTTTTGGCCAGATGTCTGTTTTGAATCCTACACCCAGATTTCTTTTAAACTACACCAGTTCTCAGTCAAATGGTATTTATGGAGAATTGACTCCAACATGTCTACATGCAATAGTGGCTGACTCTAGCAACGGTAACTGCACACAAGGTGCTTTTGTTATTGGTGAAGGTCAAGATATCCTAGGGAAATGCAGCATTGAGGAAAAATCAATAGCAGCCTTTATAAATGTCATTTAAAATGCCATTCAAAACAAGTATAAAGGTTAATGATATTTTGTTTTGATTGTTTCAAAATATATAATTAGATTAAATAGAAGCTACAATGACATGCTCCCCATGAAAGGACAGAACAATTAGCCACAGGCATTTAAGCATCTAGTAAACATATGAAGAAGAAAAAAAAGATTCCATTAATCAAACCAGAATGCCTTTGTCAGGTTGTATGTTAAAACCCCTATCTATATAACTCAGGAAAATGGGCCTTTTTCATATATGTGAGATTCAGTGTAGGCAAGAATTAACATTGAACACTTGAGTCAACAGTGGTTAGGACAGACAGATGGTGACAGATAAGAAATGACTACTAAGTGACTTTTTTTAATGGAGCCAGTGACAGCCATAAGTTTTCTAAAGAGTTAAGGACAAACTCAGAAGACAAGTTCAGATATGCCAGGGCATTTTGAAACAAGGGCTTAAAAACTGTACTTGGGTGGCGGTGTCTCTTTGGTAACCATGGTGAAGTTGGAAGAGCTCAAACACTACGTGTCACAAATTGCTTAAGAATGACTCAATACTGAACCTCTTGCCTTTGGTGAAATTCATCTTGAAACACATGAGCCAATTTGGAAATATATGCTTAGAGACTTCAGTCACTGTGGTTCAGTTAGAGCTTTTTAAGACAAGACAATCTCTAGAGTTAAAAAAGAAAGATAAAAGATAACAATGACATGTAACAATGTGAAGGCCATCATGCTACTAGTGAAACTTGGATGTCTTAAGTGGGATTGAATAACAAAATTCCATCAATTTCTCCAAATCATAATTGTATCCAAGGCTATGTGTATGTGTGGACTCCATGAAGGAGTTCATGCTCAACCACTTTTGGGTGGTCTGAGCCTCTAGGGAGGGTGTTATATGTGTCACTTGAACATCCTACAGAAATTGATGTTGACACTGTCTCAGCATCTTCTTTTGAATTTCCTGGACCTCAAGAAGTTTCTCCCTTTTCTTTCCTCATTGAACCCTCTGCTCTTGAGTTCCCACAGCTGTTTAGGGGACAAGAAAACAAAGGTCACTGTCATGTCTTTTAATAACCAAGATAGTGGCTTCTAAAAGGTCACTGTCATGTCTTTTAATAACCAAGATAGTGGCTTCTGTGGAAAATGAGGACGTCTCTCTGGCCTTGTGCTAAATACCAGCAATGATTCTATGCTGTCTTCTAGTAAGGGTTTTGCTACTGTTAACTACAGTGATGTTGTTGTTAAATTCCTGCCATACCAGAAATAAAACAGTCTGAGTTCTGTGTCTGAGAAATGGACTCACATGAGGTTCTAATGAAAAAATTGTATTATTTTAGTAATACATATGTAATTAGAATAAAAATATTCTATGTTGTTCATATTTGGGAAAAGAAATGCATACAGATATAACTACTTTTTCAACTTCCAGGAAAGGTCTTAGTGTTAGTGTTTGTAGCAAGGTAACTATTAATGTTTTACTGCTCCAACAGTGATCTTAGGTGGCCCCTGTGAAGGGGTCCTTCAACTCTCCAATAGGCCCAAGCATGGCAAATCTGGTAGGCTTTGCCCTTCTCCCCCATCCACTAGTCCTTGCTAAAAACTGTTAGATTACATTCTGAAAGCTAGCCACCAAGGCCTAGTCCCTTATTTGGCTACTTCCTCCACTGAGGCTGACTACCAAGGTCCAGCTATCAAAATATTGAAGTCCATCATTCACAAGTCCCCTTGTGACTACCCTAATGAACGTGTCCAATCAAAATAAACCAACTTATCATAACACAGCTTTCCCCTTTTACCTTCACAAATGGTCATTTGCCTATGGGCCATGTCTGTCTCCTCTCTATGCAGAGGCAGTTCTTCATCCGTTGGGGAAACTATCCCTTCTTTTCAATTGTCCCTTTCTCCTTCTCCCTAATCCTCTGTCTTCTATCTTTGTCTCTGACTCCCTTCCCTTTGCCCCCCCCAGGGCAAATAAATCCCTTTTGTGCTGAGAAATTGATCTGGGGTGTCTTATGTCGATACCAAATACAGGTCCTTTCAGGGGTTGGGATCCACAGGTTGAGAACCACTGTTCTAGAACATTCAGCAGAGGCCCTGACTTGTGAAATTTGTTCACTTCTTGAGTCTTAAGGGTCTTTTCCTATTCAGAGAAAATGGCTATGCAACTGGAAGGGAGCTATATCCTCAGCACTAGAGGAAAAACAAGCCCATAGAATTAGCCTCTCACTTTCTTATAGGATAAAGAATGGCTATTTCTTATAATCACCTAGGAAGAAAGAACAATTGAAAAATAGCCTTTATGGAATTGGCCAGTGGGCATGTCTCTGAGGCATTTTATCATTCCTGTTTTTCTTTTTTCTTTGTGTGTGAGACATTTCCTTATTTGCTAATTGATGTAGTGGGGCCCAGTCCACTGTGGGCAGTGTCATTCCTAGGCAAGTGTGCCTGAGCTGTGTACAAGAGCTAACCCAGCAAGCCAAAGCGAGCAAGCCACTAGGAAGCATTCCTCCAAAGTCTGGTTCAATTTCTGACTCTAGGTTCCGGTCTTTCTTTCCCTCAGTACGAGATTTCAACCTATAACCCAAATGACTCACAGAAGCTGATTTTGGCAATGGTGTTCCATAGCAACAGAGGTAAACTAGGGCACCAACTAGCAAGAACTTCCAGGCACCTTGAGAACCTCTTAGCCAAGGAGTCCATGACCTTGTATTGCAAGGGCAAACTACAACTATTCAGGGTAGAGCCAGACCTAGTGGGTCTATGCCACCCCTACTCATTAGTTCCATGAAAGGTACAGGTGTCATTCTCTCAGTGAATGGCATGCTTAGTGGCAGCCTTATTCTGTCTTAGCTGGAGGCATAGGGTCAGCGAGGGTAGATTTGGGAAGAGTCTGCTATGGTAGTGCTAAGGGGGTACCATTCAACTTTATTCTCACTCTGCCAATGTCTGGGACAAGTATTAAACGTTACAGACAAAATGGACTGCGAAATATCTGTTACTACTGAGACAAGACAAGGCAGAGTTAAGTGTAAAGTGGTAGTTATAGGGTATCGAATGTAGGATTGGATTATTCCTTTCAACACTGTCCTATGTGTTTCAACTCTTTGCATTGTTGGAGATGGCACAATGCAGGGGGAATAGAGCAGACCTGTTAAGTGTTTATGTAAATACTCTGTGTGTACATGTAACACACGGAGCTGTGTTATTCAACAGAAAAACAGCAACTCAAAACAAAACAAAACTCAACAAATAAAGAAAACCCCAAACCAACTGTCTTGAGTAAGTGTCAGGAAAATTAAAACTACTAAGATAGAAATATTTCAGACCTGGGGAGGTGGGGGAGGGAGGCAGAATGTATTTGCCCAGCATGCACAAAAATCCTGAGTTTGGACAAGAGTACAGAGGAAACCAGGTTCAAGGTACACTGCTATATAATCCTAGTATGAGGAGAAAGAGGCAAGAAGATCAGAAGTTCAAGGTCATCTTTGGCTACATAATGATTTTGAGATCATCCTAAGATATATGAGACCCTATCTCAAAACAAAACAAAATGAGTTTCAGACTGAAGAAACACACACACAGTCTGTTAATAATCTAGACTCTAGAAAAAAAACCCTAGGGAATTTTATGAGACCGTATTTATAGCTAGGCATAAGGAATCATCCTTGAAATCTTAACACTTGGGAGGCCAATGCAGGAGAACTGAGAGTCTGAGTCAGGTTAGTGGAGCTACCTAGTGAGAGTTCATCTAATATATATATATATATATATATATATATATATATATGTATATTCATATGTATATATGTATATGTATATGTATATATGTGTGTGTATACATATATACAAAAATATATTATACACAAATTGTATTATACACGAAAAACAAAAAAGAAAAAGTAAATGTTCTCTCAAAATAGCTAAAAATGCAATACTTGATTCTCTTTCTAAAGTTTAACTAAAATAATGACACCTTTAGAAAAGAAAAAAGAAAAAAAAACTCCCGCATGACCCAAGGATTATGATTAGGAACAAGTCCTTATTCAAGGCTTCCTGAAACTCACTCTTTCTCTGCACTGAAAAACCTCTGAATGTTCTGTCATCAGAAGAGACCTTTATTTTTGTCAGGGTTATTTTTACTCTTGGAGACATCGCCCCCTGCTGTACTAGATACTGAACTGCAAAAAGGACGTGGAAAAAGACAATTATTAAAATGAAAGAGACTTTATTTTGGATAACATATATAATAGGCATTCCATTTAATATTTATAGTGCATAGTTATGTATAAAAGCATACAAGGGGAAACATTAGAAACACCCCCGACAGGAGTGGACAGGCAATCAGCAAGCTCAGAGGTAGCGAGAGAGAAAGTTTCCATCAGATAAGACTAAAGATCATGCAAAAACCGATGTCATGGCAGGCAAGTGACATCAGCGCAAGTTATAATTCCCTGGGTATAAAATCTATGCATATTCTTTGGATTTCAAAAAGAAATAAATGAGCAGTCTTGTTTTATGTTCTAGACAAAAAAAATCTCCAAGCGCAATGTTCGCATATTGTTCTGCCACATACATATAAAACAGTCAAGGCCATAAATGGAGGTCACTAGACGACAAGAGAGAATACTGAGAGGTAAAGTAAATACAAGGAAATGCAATAAGAAAAAGGCCCCTTTGTCTCAAGAAGGCGATGCAAAGGCTTAGGCACTGGGACACCCACCAGGCACCACCACGGGTGTCTGCCAGAAGGAACTCATTGAGTATCACCACAGTTCATGAGACAGTCTAAGTGCGGAGTGTCACATCAGGAAACTTCGAATTTCCTTTACGTTTTCCATGTGAGTCAAAGCACAGGAGCCAAAATGTTCATCTTTCCCAGGGCACTAACTTTTGTTACTATAAGGACATATAAGGACATACAGGGCACTAACTTCTAAGTGATACATATTATTTGGCACTAGGGGTATTCCATTATAAAGATTGATTAAATTCAAGCTTCTGACTCAAAGACTTCATGTGTGGAAAGGCTTAAAGCAGTAATTTAAAAATTACAACAGACAAAATCCAGAAGGTAAAAACAAAGAAAAATGTTGGACAAAATCTTCTGGTTTGCTATATATTTTTTTTCCTTTTATTATTTTTTCAAATTGCATTCTATCATGAAATGCAGGCCACTGTGGACAGCTATGGCTGGATCCTGCTCAGTGCTCTCCTCCTAGGACATCATCTTCTTACATTCCACGGAACAGAAAACCATCCCTTCTACAGGCATGAACTTCTGCCCGATAAGACACTTGCTGCAGCAGGAGCACAGGAAGCAGTCTGTGGATGCATGCCAGCTGAAGTTGTTGTAGGTCACTCTCTGCACTTCCGGGTCGATGGCATTGTGGCATCCTTGACACACCTGTTAGGGAATAGAGCAAGTAGAAGAGGGTTAGGAAGCGACCGTGTCAGCCACGCCGGCGCCAGAGGGCAAACTGATGTTAACGTTGAAAATGATATTAAAAAATACACAAATGATAGTGACGTCATCGGGCATCATTTGAGCCAGCAGGGACCTATAAATTCTGAGCAAGGTGACAAACAGCAGGTAAAGGGCAAACAGGAGGAAGATGCTTCTAAGGTGGACCTAGGGTGACATAAACAGGGAGTTCTGACAGCAGATCCAGAAGCACTGCATTTGGTTCCAGTTCACGTTGTTGGATTTTATAGAAATAACTAAAAGGAAACTTATAAGACTATTTTTCCTCACTCCCTGAGGCTCTGAAGTGGTAATATCGTACCTATAACATGGACACATCATACCTGTGACATGGACACCTGATTATTAATGCCACTAATTTCTAGAGAGTAGTAAATTAAAATCATTTTCAAAGTGATTAAGGATTCAATTAAACATACTGACAGTGCTTCAGAATGATGAGTTCTCACTATCAGTGTAACTTCGAGTAATTCTAGCTTGCATTCGGCCAGAAGATCAGTCATTGTTTATCTGCCATCTATGCCATGCACCTTAATACTGTCATCCCCTACACCACTCAGCATGTGTCTTATGCACAAGGTCTCAAGCTGGCCCCAAATTCCCCACACTTCTCCCTCCACCTCACAAGTGCTGTGACAATGGGTGGCACCACCATGCCTGATCTATGCAGGGCCAGGGCTTTGTGAATACTATGCAAGTACTGGACTAACTGAACTCTATTCCCAGGTCACCATTCAGTGCCCTATGTATGTTATACTCAAATATACAAATGATGCAAACACATGCACACATACATAGCACAGCAGTCTTCTTGACATACATATAAAGAGAACGAACAATCTATATTGTAGCAGGAAACTTATTTAAAAAGTTCAAAGCTACATGTGCACCAAGAGCTTTCGAGGGGGTGATGCCCTTTACCACAGAGTGCCTGGCAGTGCATTTCCTGTGTTCACAAAACTCACACAGCTCAAAGAGCTATTTCTTCCATCCGTTTTGCTCCTTTTATTTGAGCACAAGATGTGTGGTAGCTAATTCTATTTGTTGTATAGGCTCTCTGGCAGGTGGGCCCTGTGAGCATCCCAGATGTGGCCATGGGATTCCAGTAAACACATGGGGACAAACTAGGTATCTGGGCCATCTCATGCCTCCTTCCAATGAACATTTAGCTCCAAAATCCCTGTTTACACTGAGGACATTTCTACAGGTCTAAAACTAACTTTTCTCTGTCACTTTTTAAAAATATTAAAATATCTACACAAATTAGCTGAGTTAAATGATCTCCAAAGATTACATCATGAAGCATGTAGCATGCTGTGTGTATAACCACCTTTCTTGTTCGGATGAGATAAAGATACTTTGTTTTAATATTAGGTAAAGCCAATGATTTACTTTACTGACAATGTAACTCTTCTAAAAGAAGCAATAGTGTATTATAAAATTAAATGATTCTGTTTCAAAACTGTTTCTTTTTCAAACATATTTACTGTGTTCACTGATTAGACACAATAATATGAAGGAGTTTCAACAGCTGAAAAAAAGTTTCCTTTGCTTAAACCTTGACTAAGAAAATAATTATGGGTATCTGTGATGTTGCTCAACAGTTGGGAGCAGAGAAAAAAAATCCTTGCCCTCATGGATTTATATTTCATTCTTTAAAAAAAAAAGAAGCTCACACATCCTACAAAAACTGCATATTATGATATCTTTCTTGTGTACAGAAGGCTACCAACATTTTAGGTGATATAATGTATTAGCACATTAGTACATGTTATTTAATAACATGTTTCTAAGAGAAGGAAAGTCCAGGGTTAGCCTCAAACAGATGAGAAGAGAAAAAGAAGTTAGGTATACTAGTATTTCCCAAGTGAAGATACTGAAGATAAAGAGATAAAAAGGTAAGCTCTACTTTCCAGCTACTACACACACACACACACACACACACACACACACACACACACATGCACCAGCACACACACACAGCAACATGGAGAGGCTAGTCAGAGGGAAAGAGGAGGAGTAGGGAACCATAGAAGGAGTTGTGAAAAACTCTGGGGCAGCAGATAGGTATGTATATAAAACAAGTTCTAGGTTAGGATGAGCAAAGGACAGTCAATGTGAGAACTAAAACAGGAAGTGACACACCCTGGGAATGTGTGATTTGGGCTAGATAACTACAATAAGCAGCGTGCTAGTCAAGAGAGGCGTGTGCTGGGGTCACGTCTGCAATTGGGTAAGATCATCTATCGTTGTCCCGAAGACGGCTGTCACACAAGATGACTGTGGGAAGCAGGGGCTGGTTCCTGATGGCACCACCTAAATTTACAAACCAGGAAGCCTGAAGCGGTGCTGTCGTCAGGATCTGAGGCGGACTGGCAAGGGGAAGTGGAGAGAAAATGCTTGAGGCAATGAGTCAAGGCTGAAGATGGGCAGACTTCCAAACTTGCCTTTTTGTCAAAGAACCATACTTTTAGAACGACATATAGATACACTTTTCCCTTACCCAGTAGTTTCCCCTATATACTAGCTTAGGGGGACCTTGAGCTTAAAAGAAAAAAAGAAATAATAGGAGCCTACCGTTCTGATATTCCTGGCTTAAGAGCCCAACTATATATGGTCATCTTTTCACCCTGTATCTACATCACCATCTCTTGGCCAGCAACAGCTGTGTGTAACAGGATGGATGCAATAAAAATTACACTCTCCCGTCAAGCACCTGAATGGCCCACACAATAAATCTAAAAATACAGGCCATTTTTGGTTGCACTAAATCAATTCCATGAGAGTTTAGGAAAAGAGTCACTGAATCATTTCCAGGTAGCAAAACAAGTGAGTAAGTTAGTAATGTACACAGAAACTACTTTTTAAAATTTTTTTCGATGTATTCAATTTAGAATTTTATGTGCATTAGTGTTTTGCCTGGTCTGTGTACTATGTGTGTACCTAGTGTCTGAAGAGGTCAGAGAGGACATCAGAATCCCTGGGACTGGAGGTAAAGATGACCTTGAGCTGCCATGTGGGTGCTTAGAGTCAAACCTGAGTCCTCTGGAAGAGCAGCAAGCTCTTAACTGCGTAACTGTCTTCATTGCTGAGCCACCTCTAAAGCCCCAGAAACCATTTTAAATGGAATCAGATCTGTAGTGGTAAGAATAAATTAATTCCTATTAAGGATTTTTTTTAAGTTAGGAATTTACTGGCAGGCATCCTATATAATCTACATGGCAGGCAGTGCATTTACAGCTCTTGAACTTCCCGGTTTTAAATCGCCCATGAAGGAAACACATGCTTTCTCTACACGCGGTTGGCTCTTGACTTCCCACTTCTAGGAGACCTAAGGGGAGGCGGGAACTGAGGCCACCGCACGGGCTGAGGCAACCGTGTCCCTGGGCTTCTCACCACAGCATGGCTCTTCACATAGCAGGGCTTGCACACAGGCGTGTCATTGACCATCACGTATATTTCTCCTGCCAGGATGCTGTCGCAGTCAAAGCAGCAGAAGTGTTTCAGGTGCCAATTCTGGTTTTCGGCTTGGGTATATTCATTGCTGAATATCAGCTGGCCAGAGGAGAAAATAAAATCCATTAGGCACTGTTTTCCGTCACACCACAGTGACACGAACTCAGGTTCTTCAGACAGGCATTTAAGTCGACAAGAACAAATGCCTTCTTTGGGCTCAACAACTGAAAACGGTAATATTAGGTTTGGGTTTATTATCAAAAATCAATTAATCCTTTGTTTCTGATAGTCTAAGCCATTAGTTTACTCAGGATACCCAAAGTCAAAACTAGCCAGCTTTCCTGCATGGTTAAGTGCTTGGTTAATGCCTGTCGTCTCTCCTGTGACTGAGCCACGCAGGCGCAAAGGGTGAGGCTGCAAACGGATGGCCCTGAAGGGCTTACCTCGTCACACCCAGCACAGCGGGGCTTCTCGCTGTCACAGTAATGTCTGCCGCAGTACAGCTTCCCATTCTTCCAGAAGTAAATCATGTCCACCAGGAGTTCGCCACAGGTGCTGCAGATAAAGCAGGCCGGGTGCCAGAGTTTGTCATAGCCAGCTCTCTCAGCGTAGACAGCTGGGTCTCCTTCCTTCATGATGTCTTTGCAGCAGTAACAGAACTAGGACAAGGAACCCAAACCATACAGTGATCGTTAGAGCACTGTGCAGCACACCCTGCTTCAGGGCTGACCAAGCTTCAAGAGACGCCGTTTCTACAGAAATGACCATACAGAACGGACACTTCCATGGGATGGAACTGCTCAGCTTGGTCTACGGCCCATACTACCCTGAACGCGCCCAATCTTGTCTGATCTCGGAAGCTAAGCAGGGTCAGGTCCGGTTAGTACTTGGATGGGAATTGCTCAGCTTCTTTCTTTCTCGACCAACGTCTTTCGCCCTGTGTATAACACAGCACTGTTTCCTGCATGGAAGTCACTCAAGGAAAAGAATAGTAGTTTTCACCTCAATTTTATGTTAGTTCCCTCAGAAACGATTATCTGAGAACTGTTAGTAAACGTTTTTGAGGATTAAACTGTATTAGTTGATGTGATAATCGTATCCCTGAGAAATATATTATAGTCAGCTCAGGCCTGACTCTTTGTTCATCAGTATCATGATTCTCCTTTACCTTCAAGTTATTACAAAACAAAACAAACAAACAAACAAACAAAAATCTCTCTGAGAGAGACAGCTGCATACATGCATCAAGTCTGAATCTTAGGTATGGTATCGCAAGCAAAACTAGATTAACCTAAGCATAATTTATTCTTATTTCTGTGTAAAGATAAGCTCTCTGATTGGATATGAGGCCTGCTCCATAAGAGGGAACCCATATTCGTTACTAGAAACTCAGTCAAAACCCATGGCTCAGGAGATCTTGGGGAAGAACTTACTACTGTTGTTCAGCTGCACTGGCAGAGCCACAAATGGCCTGACAGATGTTCATGTTTATGACCATAAACAAAGGCTATCCTCAGCCTCAATCAGGTGAATGCAGAGCCTCAGGCTGCCCAGGAAGCTGAGGGTGCATGATGGCGAGTGTTCAGCTCAAAAGAGACATTATAGCACTTGGGGGGGGGAGGGGTAGAAAGACTATAAGAACTGGAAGACAGAGAGAGAAGGGCTGTGGAATGTTGTCTTCTGGGCACGACAAAGCCATTGCAATCAAGTATCATAGCAGCAGAGGTTGTCTGCACTAGGCATGCACAAGACTGGACCAGTCAACAGTCAATCATGCATTGGGGAGGGCCTCACAGGGGGCATGTCCCTCCTTACTGAACTATTGTCACAGATGGATTCTGAAAACGGGCACCCACTGGTGGGCCCACTAGGCTCCAATGCATAGTTCCAATCCCATGGCCTTGGTTAAACTCAGAGGATCATAAAACAGAAATACATGAACCTAAGAAAGGAACATGGGGGCTTAACAGAAATGGGAGGAGGATGAGAGAGATGGGAGCTACCAGAATGTATTAAACATATGTGAAATTGTGAAAGGGAAAACTGAGTCAAACAAGACAGGAACAAAAGCTTCATTAATGCGGGGATTAATAAAAAGTCAACAAGCGTTGATAGATGCTCCCTTACTGTGATCTACATATATCACGATAAGGTACAAAGACTCAATAAATTCTTTGCTAAAGTCAGTTAAAGAAGATGTTAGTGATATTATCACCATTTAGTGTTACATTGATGACATTAGCCAGTGTTAGTCAATGGAATAAACTAGAGAAACATTAGATATGTAAAATATAACCAATTAATACAAAGATTATGTTTATAAACAGATGCTGGGGCTAGAGAGATGGTTCAGCTGTTAAGAGCACTGACTGCTCCTTCAGAGAACCTGGGTTCAATTCCCAGCACCCATATGGTAACTCGCAACTATCTATATCTCCAGCTCCTGAGCATACCTCTTCTGGTCCCCATGGGCATTGTGTGCATGTAGTACGCACACACATATGTGCAGGCAAAAATCATTCATACACATAAAAATAACTAAATAAAGCATTCAAAAATATTTAATGGCGGATGCTAGATTGGTATGTTATACTCAAGTAAGAGAGCAAAAGCTAGGGCCAACTACCGTGAACTACAGAAACTCAAAATTATTCTTCCTAAGAATCAGAAAATTTGGCTTCAGATAGATAGCCCAAACATAATAACTCTCTCAAGTACATCTAAACTGAATTCTCACTCATTCCCTTTCCCTCACCTACTCCTTTTAGAAACAGAAGAGTGAATCCCTCCCAACAACAAAAAGTTCTGAGAAAGGAAAGGATAACACAAACACAACACAAGCCAACAGTGTGACTACTCACATATTGGGTCTTCTTGGGCTCGGGAACCGCAGCTGCCAGGGTGTTTCTGTCCCCAGCGGGGCTGTACATCTTGTCACCTTGAGCATTCATCTCCGAGGGAAGCTTCACATCACCCACTCCCAGAGCCTCACCCTTATACTTCTTCACAAACTGCTCCATCTCCTTCACCTCTTTGGGTGACAACTCGTGGCACTTAGAAGGGTCCTGGTCATGGGCAGGCAGCTGCTTCGCCAGCTGCTTCTTCCGGTACTGTGCCCCCTCCGAGCCTGCCACTGGCTGCTTCTCCTTCGGCAGCATCTGCATGTACTGCCGGGCCTGAGCACGGGGAGACCAGTGTTAAACGGGATTATTCAACCTTTTATAACACACACCAGAAACAAGTTTACTCAAGAAGAAAGGAGCTTCATCCCTTTACTATAAATATCTAGAGATAGTAAAAGCATTAAAAAAAAAAACAGGTTTCTATGAACATAAGGAACACATTTTTTTTCTCCAGGAAATTAACCCCCTACATCCAGTTTTTAAGAATATTTAGATTTACTACTCTTAATTTGTGCTAAATCAACAGATGTGTGGCGATAAGGAAGATTTGGGGTAGATCATTATGAGTACATGTGGATCAGTGGCTTTTTCTTCATATACAAACATCATTTGTAAGATTTACTGTAAAGACCTAACTGATGTTCCAATGCTTCATCTAGCTGTCATAATAATGGAAGGCGTGCAAAATCACATTTTTTTGCCTTTTATAGTAAAAGAAATATAGCGTTGGAACATTTTTGTTCAGTTCTAAATAAAGTCAGAAATTCTATTATTTACTCTTTCTCATCACAGAAAAAGTCTTGAGAGTATACTAGAAAATTGGGCAGATTGATATAAAACACCCAGTTGTTTTCTTCTGGTTTTCATATAATTACTAAAAATGTTAGAAAAATTCCTTTAAAAATAAGGTAAATTAGATAGGCAAACATGTCTATGAGTCATCCAGACACGTATTTTAAAACATAGTAATAGGAACCTAAGGTCAATATAATGGGAACTCAGGGGAAACAAGAGATGCGTGGTGGTGGGCTGTATTACAAAAGGAACTACCATAAATAAACAGTCTAGTAACAATAACAACAAAAAGCCTCCTTCGTCCCCCTACTCTCCAGTAACTTACCAATGCCTGGTTATGGACCGGGGGAGCCCACTCATAGGTAACGGTGTTGATGGAGACATTCTTCTTGGCAGCAACTGGATTGGTCAGTATCATGACATTGCGTTTATACATGGGAATCCCATCTGACTTCAGCTTGGCAATCAGGGTGGTGTACTTGGTGTCTTCAAAGAGTCTCCCCACTTTCCGATCCTCCTCACTGCTCAGGAGGACATCGTGTTCTTCTTGCCCGCATTTGCAGTTACGGCATATTTTCCTGTCATTGGGAGAAAAGCGCAAGATGACTGACGACACCTCATTAGTGATAACTACGCACGCGCAATCATTTATGGTTCATCAAATACTTTAAAAGGTATTATGCATAACAATATAAAAAAGCAAATACTTTCTTTCATGGGGAGGGATGAGTCCTCATAAACTTAAGAAAGAAAGGCACATGGAAACACACCCTTACTTTGTAAGACTTTGAAATATTAGGTTATAAATAAAAAGGTGCAAGCTCAAGATGGCTTGTCTGAGGATGACCCCCATGTGCTGTTTGTTTCTCACAACTCACTCACTCACCAAAATGAATACATAAGTAAAAGTTGTCCAAACTATTACAGCAAGAGATTCCAGATTCCCATCCTCTCCCTGTAAGCGGCCTGAGATGACCTGTGATGGTTCGCTACTCTCTTGATCCCCAAAACTCTAAAAATCATACAAATCAAGAAGCTCAAATCTTCAGGCTCACTTTAAGAACACCCTTGAAACTGCCCAGGCCATCAAGGGTATGAATATCTGAGAAGCCACCAAGTATCTGAAAGATGTCGCCTTATGGAAGCAGTACGTGCCATTCCACGGATTATGATAGAGTTGCTAGGTGTGCCCAGGCCAAGCAGTGGAGCGGGACACAGAGTCAGTAGCCAAAAAGAGTGCTGAATGCAGAGAGTAATGCTGAAAGTAGGGGTTTAGACATAGATTCTCTAGTCATTGAACACATCCAGTAAACAAAGCACCTAAAATGCCCCGACGAATATACAGAGCTTGTGGCTGGATTAACCCACACATGAGCTCCCCTGCCACACTGAGATGATCCTCAGAGAAAAGGAACAAGTTGTTCCAAAGCCAGAAGAGGAAGGTGCAAAGAAGAAAATGATATCCCAGATGCAACTGAAGAAACAAAAAGTCATAGCACAGGAATAAATTCAGGGTTTAAATAAATAAATGCAGGGAGAGAGAGAGAGAGAGAGAGAGAGAGAGATCCCACATTCCATTCATTACATGTTAACATTCCCCAAGTTTTTTTTTTGAGTAGGACATTCATGCACCTTACCCCATAAAAGACCATAATCCTACATTTAGGATGGCCTTTCTCGGTTTCCTTCCCTGCTCTAGTTTCAACTCCCTTTCCTCTCTATTCCTCTCCCCCTCCTTTCCATTTTCATATTTTCTTTCCCAATTCCTTTCTTTTATCTCTTCAAACACTTGTCCATCAACTGTCCTGTATTCTATTATGTATAAGAGAAAAACGGCCTGGTACTGTTTTTCTGGCCAGCCAAGGCTCCACATTGACACCATGACGTCAAAAGAAGACAAATGAATCAGTGATCCTCTGTCCTCATGATGGCTGTTAGAGTTTAAGAACGCAACCCTGTTCTACCAATGTAAGCATCAGATATTCACTTATGCAACCTACTTGCATGTCCATGTGTCAAGCACATGCTTGAGAACAGAACCCAATGAAATCCACAGATTTAGCCTTTTGTTTTGTTTGTTTGTTTTTGTCTTTTTTTTAAGACAGGGTTTCTCTGTGTAACAGCCCTTGTTGTCCTGGAACTCACTCTATAGACCATGCTCTCCTTGAACTGACAGAGATCCATCTGCCTCTGCCTCCCCAGTGCTGTAATTAAAGGCGTGTGCCACCACTGCCTGACTTGACTTATAAAATCCAATTTCTGGTGAGATGATGACACAGACACGTAGACATATTTTCATTGTTTTTGTGCTAGCAATGGAAGAACTGGCTACCATAACAGTAAAAATTTTACTTCAACCTGGTAAGGAAAGGATTCCAGAAGAAAATGATGCTTAACTTTAGACCCGAAAGCTGTATAAACCGTAAGTGTGGGGGTGTGCAAGTGTGCATTTGTGGTTGGGGGCGGGGAAGAAATGACTCCCAACACACGAATAGAAGCAGAAGCATTTGCAGTGGCCCGAAGTTAGGGAAAGAGGTCCCACACACGGATAGAAAGAGAAGCATTTGCAGTGGCCCGAAGTTAGGGAAAGAGGTCCCAACACACGAATAGAAAGAGAAGCATTTGCAGTGGCCCGAAGTTAGGGAAAGAGGTCCCAACACACGAATAGAAAGAGAAGCATTTGCAGTGGCCCGAAGTTAGGGAAAGAGGTCCCAACACACGAATAGAAAGAGAAGCATTTGCAGTGGCCCGAAGTTAGGGAAAGAGGTCCCAACACACGAATAGAAAGAGAAGCATTTGCAGTGGCCCGAAGTTAGGGAAAGAGGTCCCACACACGAATAGAAAGAGAAGCATTTGCAGTGGCCCGAAGTTAGGGAAAGAGATATTCATTTAGGTCCCATACCAGGTAAGGCTGTTTGTGAGTGAGTGAGAAATTGACGAGGCTGGAGAGCAGGACAGGCATGAGACACCTTCAGGCACATCAAGCAGAGTTTGGTCTTCATTAGAATAGCATTTATGCGTCATTGAATCATAGAAAGCTAGCAACATGAACAGATCTGCTCTTTCAAATATCACACAACCTACCATGCAGAGATTAGATACCTGAGGACTACATTGTTCCTTGTGCATTGAGTTAGAGGTGTGGTTTTTAATAACAGCAGCACTGTGACTACCTTTAATGTAATTCACGCATTTGGTGGTCTTTGCAGTGGCCCAGGCAAGATATGCTGCAGCTGGAGGTAGGGTGTTAGACAGCAGAGTCCAAACAGAGAGATTTCAGATCTTCTTACAAGCAAATCTAACTAAGCTTTGTGGTTGATTTAGGCTTAGTGATATATGCTCAAAAAAAAAAAAAAAAGGATTTTGGTAATGAAAAAGATGGTAAGATGAATGTATAATTCATCAAGATTTAAAATATAAAAGAGAAATATATTTGAAATAAGGGGTCAGAAAATTTAAAAAGCCAAATGTCTTCAAAACTGAACTATGGTGGTATTTGGATTGCCTGTGATATGAGATAATGATATTAACAATCAAGTGTTAACTATTCTGGTCAAACAAAACCAAACAAAAACCCTCAGATCTTGAGATTCAAGGAGCAATACGTAATGTGAAAATCAACCACCTTCCCCTCCTGGGGAAAGCATGGCATGAAAGGCCGAGGACCAGGGGGTGTGTGGCAAAGGACCAACTTGGCAAAGGTGACAGAGGAGGTAAGTGGGCAGGAGAATTGTGTGGTATTAAAGTTTTAAGCTCTGATGAAAATACAGGGCAATGGAGTTGAGCATTTCAAAAAGCATTCTGCAACCTTACATGGTGCAGGAGGTCACTACAGCCACATATTGGCATTAGAAACTGTTAAATGCGTGCTAGATTACACAGATCACTAACAAAACATACCAGTAGATGCTCATACCAGAAAGGACGAAAGGTCCATTACTGGAGGACGCATTCCACCCAGGAATCATGGGGAAAGGTCAAATAACTCTAAGTCACAAGGCATAAAAATAAGAGTGAGAGGGGAAGCATGACATGAATGTCCACTTTTCATTAGGAGAAGCAGCAACGTCTCTCTTGGTCGGCACTGGTTTTTGGATCTCGTCATTAGACTCAGGAGCCGATGCTGCCCCTTTCCCGTCATAATGTGAAGTCCATGAGAGGGATGTGGAGAGCTGGGAAGGGGAATGTGGTTTGGGATGAGAATCACAGCTGGTTTCCACTCTCTTAATAACATCATTCTGGTTTTTTGTTTTGTAATAATTCATAGCATGAATATCAAAAAAAACCCCAACAACAACCAAAAACAACTAAGGAGAAAAAAGCAGAACACCCACCCCCAATCCACCAAACATTGAGCAATTTTTATAGTTAATATACTAATTATGAGATTTGAAGTTGGAATTCATACTGTCCTGTAGGTACTCTTCAGGGCAGTGAGAAGAAAATCAATGAAACACAAGCAATGAGCATTCATCAGAAAGCAAGCAAGTATTCTGAAGTTACGCCCTGATGCTATGTCTGGTCACAGATAGGTGCAAAGCATTAACAGGAAAAATATTCTAACAGGTTTTCTGATTTAAAATTAACATTTTCTACCAGTACCAGGAAAAACAAAGCACTAAACATCAAATAGATGTCTTTGCCAAATAACAAATTCTTAAATAATTATATGTTCTTGTGTCTCCAGCTTTCTTAAAATTCTTTTTTTAGTACATAACCTGGAGACACTAGGTATGCCATGGAGAGAAGAGAACCAGAGAGGGAGGAGACAGGGAGGGGAGAGGGAAAGGAGAAAAAGATGGGACAGTTAGGGGGACAAACAGGCACATCGCTTTTCTTGTACACATACTGGTCAGGAAACTTTATTTGGTAAAAACCTGTGGAGAATTAATGTGTTTTATTACAGCTATAAAAGCTCCTTTCTTCCATCTGGTTATCTCATACCCCCATCTAGTGGAAAGGATCAGACCCTTCTGCAGTGTGGTCTTTATTTGCCTGTGGTTACCTAAGGAAATTATCTGCGTGGTGCTTTGGTCGAGATTGTAACGATAACTTTTGGAGATGGAATGAGGTATGGGGGAATTTAGTTCTCAAGACAGGCAAATGGACCTTTATCAGGCCGGGAAACTCTGGCGTGCATCCTAGCAATCAGCAAACTGACTGTTTATAGGAACAGACATATAAGGCGACTCCAACCTTGGGTTTGGTGACCGAGGTTTCCAATGGTAAATACGTGTACCATAAAATAAGGAATCTGGGGTTTCTTTTAATGACCAATAAAAGACCCAATAAGGGAAATGATTCTTGATGGTTTGTAAACAAGAGTTTTGGCAAACTATAGGTACAGTTACTTTTACTAAGAAAGTACTAAGGTTCATTGATCAATGACACAAGACCTACCTCTACAGTAGTTTTAGTACATGGCTTGACCATCTCTTGGAGGATTCATTTTTTAATGAAGCCTCTTTTTCCTATCAACCCCTTTACCTACCCATCATACCTTTTTCAAGCAAATCATATCAGGTTAAACAACAAGCTGACAGCTATGGTGAACAAGAAAAGAAATAAGAAAGCGTTG